GAGATGTTCTGGAAAGGCTATTGGCGATTACCCTCTGGTGACCGTACGTTACTCGTTTGACATATTTATTTAAAACCTTGAGCTTAAAAGGAACGTGATGCGTTTGCGTTATGTGTAGTCTCATGTTGTATTTTTCCGCCGGTATCGTGTAGTAAATCATAAAGTAGATTAATTATATGTAAGCTGGGCACGTAGGTATCTACATAACTAGTATAAAATGAGGTATATTATAGCACACGTCACCGAAACAGTAGAGAGATTAAAGCAGAATAACACTTATCTACTGAATTTTTTTGAAAGCTTTTTATTTTGATAGAAAAAAATACAAAAGAGATATTGGGCCATGTGAAGTTTGTTTAATCCTAAAGTTGCTGTTAAACAGGTAGCCCAACCGGAAAAATAAACATTGGCTACAAAGCAGGATAGAACAAACGCAGAGAACAAACGTAGAAATTTAATAAATTCCTTTACAAACAGAATACCCCTGGAAGATATATCTATTTTTAAATGCATTTTTAATCATATAGCAGTGTACTCCTTTTATTTCTGCGCAACAGTTTCAACGGAAGTCTAGTTTCCACATGCATAGTGATGTATATATTTCTGAAAATAATTATAATTACAACTGTACTGAACGTTTCGTATTCATTATTTAAAAAGAACATATGGGCGTTTTTAGTAAATATAGATAGAGTAAGCCAGGGTGAGCAAGTTGTGTGTGTGTACATTTGTAATTAGACAAGGAAGGAGAATCATAACCGTACAATGCACAAAATGTATTTATAAAATAAACCGAAAATATAAAACAAACTGTTGTTTTACAAGTATAATATTATTCTATTAAGAGAACATGCCTTCCTACGTCTTTTTCGTAAACCTATTAATATTTATGCGCGGTTCGTCTAATTAAAAGCGTATAACACATTCAATTCGGTCATTTATTATCCATAGGTATATAAACATTATAAACTGTTTAGTTAATAATGATTAATGAAAAACTGACATACTATAAACATAAACAAAAATCCACGAACAAAAGTTAGGTTAACTGCGATGCATGTACATGTACTGTACACTACTCATACACGTTGAAGGTCGAAGAAAAATATAGGGTGTTCACAAAGTAACGCGCAAAATACTAATATTTCAACAAATGACGTTGGTTAAGGAAGTAATATCTGCGATATAAATTGCATGTAAACGCTTACAATAAATATTATCAGTTATCTTCGAACTGTCGGTAACGGACCGGATTTGAATTATAAGATAATCCCCGACCGAATATTATCTTGTGCAAATATTTCCTTGGGGATCATTAGGATTCACAACCCTAACGCTACAGTCTTAAATGTGGTCAAGGGGCACAACAGAAAAGGGGAAAATCAAACAAAATACCACGGTTCGCAACTGCTTAAGCACTCTGCTACGTTTATAACCGTAGGCGCCGCCCTAACTTTTATATCCCTGTTAGGAAGCCATGCCCAAAAATTAGAAAACTGCCCTCTGGTGGTCGAGGACGCTAAGGCTAAAATGAGAAGTAAGGAGAATACAAAATAAGAGAAAGACGATAGTTTTAATTTTGCTCTAAACCGATTGATACCACAAAAAAGTAATATAACTTGGTTGTGTTATCTCTCTCTTGCCTGCCTCTCGTTGATACTTTGCTGTCAAATCTTCCCTTAAAAAAGCGATCGGAGGACTGCTGACCTCTTTTTGGTGAATTGTCAAATGACCAAACTGATAGCAAATCTTGAGGCAACTGCTTTTTATTGCGACTATCGCTATTATACGCTATATCCACGATAAGGGTGTCTATTATAGGGATCTTGAAAAACATAGACGATTTATTGATACCGGTATCGGTCTTACCATCCTGTTGAAACCAGCAGTTTCCAACTTTTTTCCGTGCCATCGTTGTATTTCTAATAAAAAATGCTACTAAATAACAGTAAGTACGTTTTTACGAGCCATATAGCAATGTGGCGATCCATGGGTGGATCTGAAACAGTTATTTTTTAGTTTACATGGTGATAATTTGAATATGTCATTTAATCAAATATAAAAATATTATTAGTGTTATTTAATTCTATTCTAAACGCTGAATAGTGACCACACTACATTGGTGACCCTCGATAAACAACACACCGTCATTAAGAAACAAGGAAAATAACAGTTATTATCTACTGACAGGAACAGGCATACAGTTATATCTCCAAAACGTCATATAAATCAAACAGTAAAACGTTTGCATTTTTACGTTTAAAATGGCAAATAACAATGATGCATCCGAAACGAATACTCCAATCTTACCGCCAAGTACATCGACTTCTGTTACGAGCACAGCTATCGAGAAAATTACAGTCAAACCACCCGTATTTTGGGAGGAAGATCCAGCCTTGTGGTTCAAAGTAGTAGAAGCCCAGTTCGAGCTATCGCGCATAACTGCAGATACCACAAAATATTTTACAATCGTAGCTGCATTAAGTCAAAAAGCACTAAAACTGGTAAGCGACATTATCACATCACCACCAGAAAACCATAAATTTGATACACTTCGAAATGCACTTATATCCCGCCTCACGGAATCGGAAGATACGAAGCTACAAAAACTGTTACGCGATCTTGACTTGGGCGATCGTAAACCAACTCAGTTACTCAGAGAAATGAAGACGCTATCCGGTACCAGTATCTCCAATGAGTTACTAAAGAAACTGTGGCTACAGAGGCTTCCCCAACAAGTACAAGTAGTTTTAGCAATTAGCTCTGAATCGTTAGACAATTTGGCCATCATGGCCGATAAAATTGTTGAAACATATTCTAACTCGGTAGTAACAGAAGTCGCCACACGTGAAGTGCAATCAAATTCATCACGCATGAATACCTATCATGAAACCGATTTAGATAAGAAATTAGAAGAATTCAAACGCGATATTTTTCGTGAGCTGAACAAACTTCGTGGACACAAGAACCCCATTCCGCGAAACAGATCGAAAAGCAGAACAAGGGAACGATCTAATGCTACTCCGCCACCGGAGGGATTGTGTTATTACCACCGCCGTTTTGCAGAAAGGGCAAAGAAATGCACAAAACCATGTGCATTTGAAACAACTGCGGAAAACTAACAGGTCCGTCCCAAATAGCGGTATGCGACGGTCCCTTCACTCACCGCTTATTCATTTACGACCGGATAACGAGAAACCATTATTTAATTGACACCGGTGCTGATGTTTCCGTAATACCTGCCAACGTCAAAGAAAAAAATGAGTGCAACCGCGGCTCGCCATTATACGCAGCGAATCATTCAACAATCCACACATATGGCACACGTACTATACGTCTAGAACTAGGTCTACGTCGAAATTTCAACTGGAAATTTATTATCGCGGATGTGAAGAAACCCATAATTGGTGCAGATTTTATACATTATTATGGATTAATAGTAGATGTAAAACGGCGACGCATCAGTAGTGTTATAAGGCCGATTCTAACTCAAAAGTCACTAGAAAAGTCACTAGATGTGAAAAAAGTCACTAGAAAAGTAACTAGGTTTGAAACTCTGCTCAAAGTCACTAGAAGGTCACGAGAGGTTTGAAACTCTGCTAACAGTCACTAGAAAAGTAACAAGGTTTGAAACTCTGCGTCACTAGAGAGGTTTGAAACTCTGCTAGTGATATAGGGGTCGATTCTAAATCAAAAAGTCACTAGAAAAGTAACTAGGTTTGTAACTCTGCTGGCGAGGTTTGCGTCAGTGCTAAGGTCAAGGGATCGAGGTTTGCGTCTGAGCTAAAATATCGGAGGTTTGTGTCCGAGCTAAGAGTTGAACGCGGGTTGTGTCCTGAACTAAAGTGGGTCTAAGCTAACGCGTTCTCAAAGTCAGAGCTAAAGTAAGTCGGTTTGTGCCTGAGGGTTGTGTTGTCGATGGTAGTGTACGGCCGATTCTAAATCTCACTAGATGAAAAATCCCCCTAGAAAAGTCACTAGAATTGAGTGGTTCTGAACTGTGGTAGCGGGGTTTGCGCCTGTGCTAACGTCAAGGGGGTCGAGGTTTGTGCTCGAGATAAAGTATCGGAAGTTTGCGTCCGAGCTAAAGTAATTCGGTTTGCGCCTGAGGGTTCTTGTCGATGGTAGTGTACGGGTGATTCTAAATCACACTAAAATCCCCCTAGAAAAGTCATTAGGATTGAGTTGTTCTGAACTGCGCTAGCGAGGTTTGCGCCTGTGGTAACGTCAAGGGGGTCGAGATAAAGTATCGGAGGTTTGCGTTCGAGGTAAAGTAATTTGGTTTGTGCCAGAGTCGAGGGTTCTTGGGGTTTGCGTCCGAGCTATTTGGGCTGGAGGTTTGTTGTCAGGTTACGGTGAAGTTTCAAGGTCGTTTAAGGCAATTTGATCGTGGTGGTTTACTTCCGGGGTAGGATAATTTGATCGGGGCCTTCAAGTAACTAGGTTTGTATATGTGCTGCGTGGGTTCGAATGTTTTGCTTGTACGGTTCTGGACTGGGGTTTGTAAAACTAGTAAAGCTACTCTCAATAATGTAGGACTGAAATCACACTAAGTTGCTTTCGGGGTTTGCGTCCGGGCTAACAATTCTATCTCCTGTCAATCACCGTGCAGAAATCTATTACTGTAGATTTCAAGGCCACACTTTGGAAATATAAGGTGAGCTGCAGGGCGTTTTTTCATTCAGTCCGATAGTGCTTTCCAAACAGTTAAAAAATGGATCTTAATGCGCTCAACAATGAAACATTCTGTAAAGCATTTAAGAACGTTAAGGATATGGAAGTGGAGGAAAAGTTTAAAATTCTGAATATCGATATCATAAACACAAAGTATGGTGACCGAATAGTACTGGAAACAGAAAATTATAAATGCGTACTACCACTGCGGTTCTACGAGTATTTCAAAGTAGGTAATCGGCTGAGCGAGTTCCAAGAATCCTTGAAGACAAACGAGGTGTTCATTACAAGTGCAGGACCGTCAGGAAAGACCACAAACTTAAAATTTATGTAAACATTAGCTATTTTTGAAAAAAGATTATGTAAATAGTGTTGTAAATAAAACCATTAGACTACAAATAATCGTGTTTCATTAAGAAAAGAAAAAATGCCATCTCTGGTCATCCTTTGAATTCCATCCCGCCTCTTGTGTTGAAATATGTAGTTTGCGCTGCAATCCCCTCGAAGGTGTAGGTTGCGAATATCCCTTGGATCGTTAAATGGGCTCCAACCACAACGTACCTTTGGTGCGGAAAAACGACGAAGGGCATCGAGAGAGATTCAAGTTGTTTTGCGTCCCTGTAATCAATAATTCGCCCGTTACGATAAAGTTTCAACCATGGGCTCCACCTGAGCTGTTGGTAGTGGAGGCAGTGTAGGTGATCTCATCGTTTCCAGCAATTTGAGGGATTATTTTCAACTTTAAAAAAGAAAATTGGAGAATGAAAAAAAATCGTTTATTGAAGGTACTAACCCACCAGGCAAACAGAAAATCTGTAGCAAATCCTCCTTCTAACCGCGCTACGGATGTGTGTCCACTAAATTTTCTGTTCTGTAAAAACAAGAAAACAATTACTTTTAACGTAGTATCTACATGCCCCAACTCAAAAGGTATCAGAGTAATGTTGTATACTTACACAATCGTGGGGCGAATTGATTGTGATGACACGGGCATCTATTTCAATGGAATCCCATTTTGATACGAATTTACCTAAGAGACACCGCGTTGTTTACCACAGCGTTTATTTCTGGAGCCAACGCCAACGTGTCGTTGATAGCCGTTGTTGATCGACAGGTGGCTTTAGAAATGTTTGTTGCGAAATTTTCGCGCCCGATGCTCGAAACGTTGAGAATTTTCGTGATGTCATATTGTGTGTGACTCGCGCGCGCACTTTACGTTTAACTATAGTAAATAGGAGGCAAATTGCGATCGTAGCGGAAAACTAAAGACGGAACGTGTAACGAGTGAGAAAACGATACATTCTTTGTTTTAGATCTGAAATGCATACTCCCATTTCCAGGAATAACGGTCGGAAACAAGGGCGCTTTGTTTTTTTGAAAACGCCTTACGCGGTAAAATACGTCAAGGAAGTCACCTATTTATTCTTTAGGATATCTAGGTAAGTAGTTTTGGTTAAAATCAAATAAAACATGTCTCGTTAGGGTAATTAATATTGGACGTACCTACTAGCATTTCGTAATATATATTCCTCATTAGAAATAGTGGTTTCGGAGAACTAGAATACAGTTTCGCATTTTGCGGTAGCCCTTCATACGAAATAAATTTTAAATTGGTTTTTTTTTTCGTAATACCTATCTGTCTATAAAGCGCAGTTGGCCAGTTAGCTGTTAGCGGAACATCAAAAAACAATGACAGGATTTTGCGAGTCGTTTGTTTTTTGTCAAAAAGTTGGAAGAGTAATTTTTTCCCCATCACCTTTTAATTAATCATTACTTCGCGAGAATGCTTGCAATAGTTAAGGCAGTAAAGAAATGCAGCAGCAGCAGTTAGATAAGCACCTTTTCCATTAGCGTTTAGTGGGGGCATTTGCCTATATATACGTAGGTACTTATGCACCTACATCGCGTTTTCCTTGTTCTTGTATAAAGGGCACTACATTGCTCGGGGGAAAATTTCCAAAAAGCAAGGATATAATTTACGTGTGGCTGTAATTGGTTTCCACGAATTGCTTATCATTGAGAATCTATTTTGTAGACATACAACTACGTATGGAACTAAATAAGAGTAGGTACGTATAAGAGGGTAAATACGAATATTAGTAAATCTTCATTTACAGTAGGTAAACCGGCAAGTTGCGCTATAGGTATAATTGGTAAATTAGAAAAGTATACCAAAGAAAAATTGTATAGTGCGCTTGTACTTTGGAATCTAAATCGAATACATTCCCCCCGGGACCCTGCAGGTGTTGAAACAAAGACGTCTGTTGCAAGCATCATGTAGCAGCTCATCCCTCTTCTCTCCGCTAAAGACACTGGTTGAAATTTTCCATTAGTTCATTCGCGTCTCTCTTCTGACATACGTCATGGCGAAAAAGTATCCAAACCTTACAACCAAAAACCGGGAATGCAAAGGAAGAGTTTACAAAAAAAACGGCAACCAAATTAACAACAACAGTCCCTAACTAAAATAATGCGAGGACTGCAGAAAAACGCAGTGGCAGTGCACCCCCGGCGACCTCCCGCTTCCCCCCGGTATTATACGAAGGACGACGATAATTTGAATCTAATAATTAAAAAATTTGGTCAACTATTGCGGAAGTAGGTACAAACTGTTTTATATTTCTCTCCCACCCCTACTATTTTTGCGCACGCATGTTAAAAATAATAACTTGTTTACAGTAAATATGGGGGAGCATTTCGAACAGGGTCATAGCACAGATAGAATGGAGTTGCTGCTGCTGCATATTTTCTTTTTGCATAGCTTTATCACTTTTGGATACCAGCACCATCGCATGCCTTAAATTAACTTCAATTAATATCTACTCAGGTGGTGTGGAACCAATCCTACGAATGTACCGTAAGTTTTTGTGGAAATATTTTGTAGAACCGTAACCGATGATTGATTACAGTCACACAACCACATCAACAACCCTCGAGCGGCAAAGGTCAAGAAGACCTAATGAAAAGCGTCAGCCTACTTTTCGGCTCTGGAAGCGACCGACCTGTAAGGAACTGGCGCACAAGACCTACGGGCGGGCCTAAAAAATATGGATACCGCTGCAAACTGGTGGATGCGCAAACCGTCGACAAAACAACTGGACTCTTCCAAAAGAGAGGCGCTTGGAAAAAAGGATTTTCAATTTGTTGAAGAATTTCTTAAGTTCACTTTTAAAATATATTTATATTGAAAGATGTAAATTAATAGCTTTGTTATGCAACCCAGAATGCAGAAGCGAGCTAGTATGGTTGCAACACTGCATCCGACATTTCGCGAAGATGCAGTTAATGCAACTAAAAACAGTATCATACTATTCCGAATGCAGAATGGGGCTAGTGTGGTTGCATAATCACAGTCGCATCCGAGCATGTGCGTATGTTCTACCATGATGATTTCATAAATATTTTAAGGTGGATAACCGATTTCAATAACTACTTGCCCCCTAGAAATAAGTCTTCATAACGAGTGCTGATAGGATGGGCGCAGGAATTTAGCATGTAGAAAAAAGATGTGCATGAATTATTTAAAAAATAAACTGTATATAAGAAAGCTCTCTTAACGGCGCTCCCCCCTATAACACCTATAATAGCAAAACAATTTCTTACACACCTAAAATAAACATTCCCAAAAGTATTAGATTACATACCGAGGTGGGAAGTGGTTCATTACCTACGCGCCGAGAGGCTTTGGGCAATTATTTTGAGGAATATATGAGGTACCCCGTGACATCCAATGGCATGTCCGCCTGTCAGTCAATGAATTATTTTTACATTACAGTATACATATAAGCAAATGTACACATCGTTTTGGTCTAAGATTTTGGTATTCAACGTTACAGATCCTATTTTCCCCTAGACACTGCAAAACTAATTAGAATTACGGTTGGGGGCCTTTTCGGTAATGTGCTTCGCGTTTGAAATTCGCCCCTTTATAAATCGCGTATCGACGTAGCAGTGGAGTCATGCTATTTAGAGAACTGGAAACGGAAGGAAGAGGTAACAGGTGAATAGATTGAGGCTGTGTATATTTATGAGCTCCTCATTTTTGGCAGTTGTGATAATTCCACCACCGCTGCCGAGGGCTTCTTTCTGCGTAACAGGAACCCGCGCTACCCGAATTTGTTTGGCGTTGATACAATTCCTTTGGGAATAACTGAGGTAGTTCACATATAACAAGCGCCAATCATCGCAGTCAACCACTTTCAAGGTCACGAGTTGAAAATATAAGCTTAGCGATGCTTTCAATCAGTACAGTAGTGCTAGTAGTCCCTATACTGCTCGAAACAGTTGGTGAATCGGTAGCAGAAAATGGTTATTGCTATTGGCGTTCAAGGATTTAAAACATCCACAACGACATTTACGCCAAAGGAGTTGGCGGTATTTAATGGGCACCAAGTTGCACATTTTGTGTTCAAACCTCCATTTTCATTTAGCAGCTTAGATGTGAACTATCAAAGACAAGCAATCTGGCTGATGCACAACCACCATTGTATTAAATGGGAAGAAGGACATACACCGCCCCACTTATTTCCGATTATACTTCGCCGGCTAGTATCACCAATGGAGGCTATATATGTGAAGGGAAAGGAGAAGGCAGAATTTATACGAAAAACCTTATCGCAGGATGTCGTCGAGATCAACGAGGAACCTGCATTACCTAAATTGGAAGCCAGCTGTTTATATCATTATCATTCCTATCCAAAATGTCATTGTGCATTGGCAAACGTGTATTACATACATAACAATTATACAATGTCATAATTTTTTAGTAAATAAAGCGATAAAAGTTTAACGTTTATTCTTTCTCTTAATACCCTAAGGATGCCTATGTGCAAAACGATCGTTTCAGAAAAGGTTTCACTATGTATAATACCTACGAACCTACCGTGAAAACGTGCTTATTTTTCAGTTGTAAAAACACGGCTATCAAGTATACCTACAGCTTTCAAAATAAACAGCTTCAGAAATAAACAGGTAAACAGATAAACAGGTAAACAGATAAACAGGTAAACAGATGAACAGGTAAACAATATCTGTTTTTTTAATAAATCTGTTTCTGTTATAGCTGTTTATCTGTTTACCTGCTCAGTTGTTTACTAGTTTATCTGTTTACCAGTTTATACGTTGGGCCTTCTGTAAAAATAGCTATGTTTATCCTACTCAATTTAAGAAGCATGTATGTCTTAACGTCAATTATTTGCATTCGTTTTCCTAGCAGCTGAACAGCTTTAACTAACAGCTTATACAGCTTTATTGGGGAACAAACCCTGTTCCAGTTGATCTGTTCTATTGATATCTGTTTAGATAAAGAACTAGTAGCGACCGGACGGATGGACCGACGGGCGGACAGACAGAGGGATGGACAAAGTGGCCACAATAGCGCATTTTTTTTGTAATTTTTGTGGAAATGCGCTAAAAATAGAAAACTAGATTTAAAGACTAGTTGTTGCGATTAACATTAGTGATTGACTATCCATTCATTTGTATTGGTCCAAAAATATTAATATGCTCCAAGGAGAGTTTTTATTAAAACATTGTTTTTTGATTAAAAAACTTGAGAACTTGGATGTAAATTCCCGACCACCACGTATAGTTTTTTGATCAGTCGTTACATACATTACATATAGACAAGGCTCAGGTGCTATTTACAAAAAATCCTCAACATAGTAGGTCTTGTCTTGCTTGCATGACAAAATGTAGAGCCAAATAAAGAATACTCTGTATATACCTACAAAACGAAAAACGGCGATTTTTAAAACTAGTTCAGCCACATGCTGTGATGAACAGAGTTATTTATTACAAATGTCATTGTCAATCTTCTCTCAAATGACCCACAAACCCAAATGAAGTAAAACCATTTCCATTTGTTATTGTTACAAATTCATTACTCTACAAATTGATACATATCTGTTTCTAAAACTGACTTACCGAAAAAAAATTGGAGTACACAGTCTGAGTCCATAAAATATTAAGCGAACAGTTCGAATTTGTGGGTTAATTAATACCCAAGGTATCAATTAAATAAGGGACGAAAATAAATTCCGCTAAAACAAACGATGAATAATTCAGTAATAAGTTTAAAGTATTCCCATCGAGAATTGCCGAAATTCGCGCAATATCAAAACGGCGTAAATGTAAACGAACTCCATCGAATCGTTTCCGATTAAAAAAAAAATCGACGCGTCGCTTAAGCGCTTTTTGAAAGTAGCGTCGCAATTATACGTTCGCGCGGCAAAGAGCCGCGTTCACAATACAGACCTAAATCTTGTTTAGAGATACTCATCTGCAATTCATTTCATTTACATTGTACGAGATTGCTAACTCGTTCAACAGGTTAATGTATTAAAAAGATCGTGAGAAAGGGGTTATAAAAGTAATTGTCTTAAAAAGGTCGATTCGGAAAAAGAGGAGCGCATCTCTTACAAGTACAAGATAATCAAATTACCCGGCAACAAATTAATCATCGAATGCTCCACGGTTCGAATCACCCTGTTAATCTCGAAAGCTCTGTCTTAGGAATTGAAGGAAGTACGGTATAGCAGTCACTTTAGGTGGTGTAATTAATTATTCCCAAAAGGCGATCAATATATTAGCATTTTTTGGTTTTATGCTATCAGTGAACTTTGCGACCATAAAAGATGCGAAGAAGAAAGTGTAACAATAAATACATAATGGCGTTATGTATGTCTGTATGGCGTTAACGAAACAAATCTATTTGTTTGATAAGTACCTATGTACTAGTAGTCATCTACCCCCTTGAAAACAGGTTAGCTATAGAAATATTAAAATCTACACAGGGTCTTCTATAATACCGATCTGGTTAGACATT